AAAAAAAAAAAAAAAAAAGAGAATAATCATGATGAGCTCATCTGATAAACAAACATCTAATCTGGTTACCTTTAATGGTGTCCTTATATCCTGGGATAGTCATAATGACATGGATCAGACTCCCTGAGGTGGCTGGAACACAACAGAAAGTTGTGTCTGCCAACGGCAGCTGTCAGTATTCAGGAAGGTCATGCATTATGGGATGGAATTGCCACATAAATACTGATGCATTGCTATAGCACTTTAAAAAGAGAGGTTTCCTTTGCTTTATTTATAAGCTACACAATCCAAGTGGTGAAGGTCACATAGCCAGTGCCATGTCTCAAGGTGAAAGGCACTGTTATTTTAGTTTCTGACCTAATCTGTCTTTTTAAAGACACCATCTTCAAAATATTTTAATTTGCTTTTTAAAAAGACAAGGGCCTTGGGGCATCAATTATTTTGTTGGAGATACCAACACAAATTTATTTAATTATAGAAATTAATTTTAATTAATGCTTTTAAGTGATTCTTTTTGTAAAATGAAAGAAAAGAACCAGCTGGGTCAGTTAAAATGCTAATGTCCGGGCTTTTTTTTTTTTAGCCAAATCCTTCCATACAAAGTCAGCATCGGGCCGGCCCTGTGGCGTAGTGGTTAAGCGCGCATGCTCTGCTGCTGGCAGCCCCAGTTGGGATCCCGGGCGCACACTGATGCACCGCTTGTCAGGCCATGCTGTGGCGGCTTCCCACGTAAAATGGAGGAAGATCAGCACGGATGTTAGCTCAGGGCCAGTCTTCCTCAGCAAAAAGAGGAGGATTGGCATGGATGTTAGCTCAGGGATGATCTTCCTCACAAAAAAAAAACAAACAAAAAAACAAAGTCAGCATCATTTGTGGAGTTCCAGTTCTAAAACTGAGTGGCAGAGAACCAAGTGATGAGTCAAGTCATCTTGCAAAAAGTGTTAAGAAGAGTGGGTGGAAATCCTGGACGGGTCAGGAGACCCCAGGCACTGAATAAACTGCCATACCCTAGGCCTGGTCACAGTGATCCCCAGAGGGGTGCAGAGCTCAGGAAGGAGGAGGTGGAGGAAGACTAATGCTTGGCCGCAGTCTGTGTGATGCTCCATCCCCACAAACTCGAAAGAGTCCCCAGTCGCCAGCCACGCAGCCTTGAGCCAGTGGAGAAGCTGTTCCCAACCATGGACACAGTTAGAGAGGAGAGCGTGTGGGGAAGAATGGCTCACCCAGTTCCCTACACATTCCCAGGCAACACAGTGAGCAACGCTGGTCTGAACCTCTCCTACTAAAATGCATGCTGAGGGCAGAGGGCAGGAGGGGAGGAGGCGACATCCGTCAACAAAATAGCAAAGACACACTCCTTTTCTGAATCTAACACTGATCCTTTTCTAGGAGGTTCTGAGAATCATGATGTGGTGTGTGTGTGTGTGTATGGGCGGAGGTGGCTGATGACTGCTAAACAAAGATGTGGGAAGGGCTTTTCTCCCATGAACAACTGGCTCACACAGTCCCTTAGACTCACGGTAAGGCCTAGGAATGAGAAATACAGCAAACAGAGAAATAGAGGTTGATGGTTCCAAGACTGAAATTCCGCCCATATCTTTCTATATGCTCATTAAAGTGAGAACCGCAGCCTTTCATTCTCATTCCAGCATGGTAATCAAAGGCCCAGGATATTCAATGCCAGGCTACTGTGCTCAGATTAAAACTCTAAGAACTCAGTTCAAAGAAGAGAGAGAGCTGTTGGCTCTAAGAAAATGTAGGACACACACTTCTCATCACAACAAAATCTCTTAAGACCCACTCCGTTATAACATTTGCAAACACATGTTAAATTACATACTAAAATAATACATGAAATTTCTTGGGAGTTTAAAAGAGGATCTTTCAAATCTTTTCACCGCAACGGAGTGAAAATCCTTCTCTGTCTTTATAGTTGTCGAACTTTTCTTTCTGTGCTTTTTATATTGACATCTAACTTGTCCACTTTGGCTGTGAGGCGGTCAAGAACGTCATCTTGTTCCTCAATTTCCGTCTGCATCCCCAGGGCTATGTCCTTCAGCCGGCCCAGTCCCAAGGACAGCTCATCTGCGGGAGAGGGAAGGACACACAGGCCTGAGCAAACAGTCACAGCATCAGGAGCTGCTGCTTGTTCCCTCCCAGGTGCTCAGCAACAACCGGATTACTGAGTCCTCTTTCTCATAAGACAGGCTAAACTCCAGGGCTTTGGTTACATTTTCCAAAACACATATAAGTAAAATAAATCTGTTTACTCAAAAAGTAATAGTGCTTAATATGTAAAAGCCATTCCTCTCTCTGCCACCCACCCAAGATAATCACTGTTCCTATAATGGTGTCTGTCCTTCCAGTGCTTTAAAAAATGCATATAGATCTACATAATTTTTCAGCTGCCTCTGAACCTCTACTCGGTTGCTGCACATTGTAAGATCAGCTAGCACCTAAAGAAAAGAGAAGCACAGAGGGGCCTGGAAAACACGTTCCCTTCCTAGACCCCACAGTGAGTACCTGGGAGAGGTGGGTTGGTTACTAACAGCCAGACCCACTGGCCTGCTCTTCAGGAGCAAAAAACCCAAGTCAGTGGGTAGAACTCAACAGTGCCAGCTTTCCTTCCTTCCATCTCCAGCTCCCTAAAGCTAGATCAAGCACAGATCCAGAGTGGCAAATACGAGGATCCTCATTTGGAAACACATCTGAGAGACAGACCTGGGAAGCCCTGTCCAAAGGGAGCCCCTGCACCCAGGCTGCTCCAGCCCTAGGCTCCCTGCTGGAGAAGGCTGCACCCCCCAGTCCACTATGTAGGTGGCAGGAGAAATGATGGCTCTGTCCTTGCCCTGCCATCTGAGTGCTCTCCCAGAAAACACATTGAACTACAAATGTTTCCACTGGAGCCACATGCTGTGAGGTCCCTTTATGAAGAGTCACACTTCCCCACATTCATTCATGCATTGCTACCACTTTTAAAATCCATGAACACATCAATTCTGCGAAGGTTCTGGGCTATGACAGTTAGCTTGCATTTTCCAGAACCAGGCTGGCACTATTCCCTTCACTTACTTTGTGGTCAGGAAGAAGACAGTGGCCTCTGCATAAGCTGGGTGCAGAGATCTCTGCAACCCAGGGTCCCCATGTCAAAAGGAACGGAGTGGTGAAGGTGCTGGGTTCCTTCAGAGGTGCCATCTGGGCTGAGCCCCAGGTAACTGTGGAATATACCACTTTTGGCAGAGGTTCTGCTCTTGCGAGAGGTTACATCACTATTGCTGAAATTCAAGTTCAAACACGACGTGTGAGAGCCCCACTTCCACCAAGGGGAAGTGTAGTATGGGGGGGAATCCAGGTCAATTCCACTGGGTCTGAGTTCAAATTCTGATCCTGCTCCTTAGGCATGCTCTGGCCTGCCCAGGACCCAGACCCCAACCAAGGTGAGCCCCCACAAGAGGAGGGCCCCCAGGAACGGCCCAGCCACAACTAGTCACTCTGGTGCCAGTTTCCCTCTAAACTCATTCTACTTCCTTTCTTAGGCTTTCCACTATTCGTAATAAATATTTTACTTCTGTTTCAAAAAGTTGTAAAAATCAATCTTACATTCATTTTTAAGAGGGATGATGCCTGTAAGGACGTGGTCAGCCCTCGGAATCCATGAAAGGCTGACTTGGCACAGATGACATAAAGATAACTGAGGGTGTGGGGGGAGGAGATGTGCTGATTGGACTCTGGGGTCCCCTTATGGGGCTGTGCACCCTGCAGAGATGAGTCCTGACTTAACTGATTCCGCCAGGGGGAATGGTAAAGCCTCTTTCCTGGGTTTCATGATAGTGTGTGTGTGTACACGTGAAAGGGGAGTGGGAGTGGGGGGCATGCCCAGAGCTGCTCTCTGCTCTTTTACTAGAACAGCAGGCCAGGAAGGAGCCAGAGGGAAGAGGGGAGAGGTGGTGCTTCGTAAGCCTTCTTACTGATAAATTAAAGATAAAACATTAAGAGAAAAAAAGGTCAGACTACACAAATATTTGGCACTGGCACCATAAAGCTAAGCAGAATCAGGTTTGTTTTTTAAAGATAGCCTTCAGTTCTACGCTTCTGGAGTTCATTGAAACCTATGACCTTGTATTCCAAGGAGAGTAAAACCTTGAGGTCACCCCAGGCCTCAGGAAGCTTGTCAGCAGTTGGGACAGCAAATGACAGGCAAATAGTTGTGCTGAGATAAAAAGTGTAAAGTAAAGCCACTAAGAAAGGCAGCCGCCCTCAGAGGGGGGCCTGCACCAGTCCCTGAGACAGAGGGAGGGCGTGGTAAGAAGGGAAAAGCTAACCTGCCAAGGGCGAGTAGGCGTGGCCTGTGTCAGCAGGGCCCACTGGCTGTGCTCTGGAGTCTCCCTCTTCCACTCTAGCCCTCCTCCACACTCTAGGCTGCGTCCTGCTCACCTGCCTGAGCTGCAAATCCTCATGCCAACTGCACACCCTCAGACTCCAGGGGTGGGCTGTACTTACCCTTCTTCTCAAGTCACTCTCTGAATTCAGTACCCTCCATAGGTCTCCCTCCCCCCGTCCCCCAGCAGGCACCAGTGACACCCGTTCTCAGTGGGGAAACCTTTGGTCAGGAGGACCGAGGGCTTTCAAGCCCCTTTGTGTGTCTCTGGAGTGGTCAGACCCCAGCAGATGCATCTTCTGCCTGAGGTCTTTGGCTCCAGAGGGCAGAGTCCAGAGGAAGACGCAAGAGGTGGCCTTCTGGGGCTTCCCTGGACTCTGCGGGCAAAGGGCAGCTGGGGCCGAGGCAGAAGCCTGCCTGGGTGTGGAGGGTGCTGAGATGGGCCCTCTCTTCTGCTGCCGGCGGGCACCGGCCATGCAGGTCTAATTTGACATTCGTACTGAGGGGAGCAGTTGCGAGCTGCGGGTCATGAAATTACAGTTCTTTTATTTATTTGTTCTTGCTTATGTCTATTGTCCATGTCTTATTCCTGCAAAGATTTCTTTTAATGCTTAAAAGGAAGATTCTATTCCCTGACTCGGTAATTCCATTTCTAGTATTCTAGCTACAAAACGTGGCCAAAGATTTCCTCAGAGGAATGGACAAGGGATTATATTCTGTAGCCAAAAATGGAAATAACCTAAGTGTCTGAGAGTGGGAGATGAACTGTTAAAGTGCTGCTTTTTAAAGAAATTTCATGGGAAAAAATTAGGAAAGAGTTCAAGATATAAGCGAAAAAGCAGGATACAGAAATGTATATACTGAATGATCCCCAGTACCTTTGACATTGATTACACACGTGTACATATGTACATGAAAAAAAGAAGGAATGACACCAAATCACGCTGCTGGACAGTAGGATTATGGGCATTTATTTCCCTATGGCACTTACCTAACCTTCGTAATTTTCTACAATGAATCTACATACTCAGAAACAAAGGTTAAATGTTACTAAAAAGAAAGAGCATGGATATGCCTCATGTGCCGTCCTTCTGTTTGCTCAGGGCTGCTGGAAGGGGCACCGCTCTGGGCAGACCAGTGAAGGGCCCATGGCGTGTCTCCTCCTGGGGGGAGAGCAGGAGGGAGCCTGTGCACAGACACCCAATATGCACCTTCATGGGTTTTGGTTTTGTCTCCCACTAGATACCTTTAGAGCAGGGGGAAATTTTACTTTTTATCTCACCCACTCTGCCATCTCCTAATGGGTGGGAGACTGACGAGTGACAAAGGTAGCCATGGGGGAGCTTCCTGTTCCCGGAGCAAAGGTCAGAGGAGCCAGAACATCTGAGATGCCACCTAGAATAAACTCATGGAAACTGCTCAGGGCCAAGTCCTACTGTCAGCACACACTCCTCCACTTGAACTTCAAATAACTGACTTCTCCCCCTTCGTTCAAATAATAATCACTGAGCGCTTGCCTACTAGGCCCTGGGTATAAAGTAGTAACGATCTGACACATTCCTGAGTCCCCTGAATTTATAGTCCGGTCAGGAAGACAACAGATAAGCCAGTAGATAATGATTACAAACAGCAGAGACACCACACTGGGAACAACAGGATGCTCTGAGAGCAGATAAGAAGACTCCACGTTAAAGTAAGGCTCATGGCATGAGAAGGAGCCGGCAAAGAGTAGGAAAGAAGGACCCTCCAGGCAGAAGGCGGCAGTGATGCGGGAAAGTGATGAAGGCAGGAAGGATGGAGAGGCAAACGGGGGCTGGAGGGGTAGCAAGGGACCTGGACTGTAGGAACCTGGCTGCATGGCAAATATGCCATAATGGCCACATGAGTGCTAGCTCTTACCAGGCCAGGCTGTTTCCTACGCGCTTTATGGGGTCGCTCATGTAACCCTCCCCCAATCCTCAGAGGCAGGGTCTATTCCTGTGCCTGGTTCACAGGGGAGGAAACAAGGGCTCCATGTGGCCAGGTGGTAAGGATGCAGAGTCCAGCCTGCACTGTGTGGCCCCTCAGGGACCCCTAGTTCCTGCTGATGTCACGATCCAGATGAGAGGTGGGGAAGGAGAGAAGTGGACAGACTCCAGACAGAGTGAGGGGTGAGATGGACGTGACTTGTGTTGGATTTGACATGTGGCAAGGGAGAGGCAGACACCAGGTTTTGGTCTTGAGAGACTGGATGGCTACTGGTGCACTGGCTGGGCTCAGCACTAGCTGCCTGGAAGACAAGTGTCCTGAATAAGTGCCCTGCGGAGGCTGGTGCAGCTTCCAGTCTTACCTAGATTGTCGTCGATCTTCTGGTGATAGGCTCGAAGGTGTGCGTTCTTCGGGTAAGCCTCAGTACTCACAGAAGAACTGGCCCCACCAGGGACAGAGTCTGAGTTTAGAAAGAAACACCAGGAGAATGGTTAACTGACATCTCTCGAAATGATGCTTAATAAAATTAATCTTCAACTGGAAAATGGATGGAAGGAATAAGCTGGTTGGTTCTGAGAGGCCATTCAAAGAGGTGAGTGTGGGAATGAACAGCGTGCAGGAGGAAGAAGCACTGGGCAGGCCAGTTGGAGAAGGAGAGACGCTTCCTCGGGGGCAGCCCTTTGGAGATCAAAGACCCTCAACCTACGGGTCACCTGGTCAGACCCTGGTACACGATCTCGGGAAAGAGACAGAGATTCATACAAATACCAACAGAGCAGTGGAACTGCAACAATGCAAAACCACACAGGCTCGTGCGCAAAGTCTAAAAAACAAGGTTTAAAAGTAAAAATTGTTATGTTACAGAAATGGGATGATAGGTAATTTTTTTTCTTTTTGAAATTTCTTTGCTGTCTTTTCACTCTAAACAAAACAAGGAAAAAAGAAACGTTAAATAATGTACATTTGCCCCAAGAAATCTTTCTTGAACTTCGGTTTCTAAATGCACACAGAAAAGCCCTGTCATCCCAGTTTATATCTTTTGGGGAAACACCCCTTTCAGACTGAGTGTATTTCCTCCAGGACAACCTACTGAGGCCATTCTACACATACAGTGTCAATTTTGGGTTTTTTTGTGTGTCTCTTAATACACACCACACAAGTTAAAACTCTCTTTAATTCCTTAAAATCGTATCTTCCAGGTGCAGGGCTCCTATTCCACTTCTTCAGGGTACGACCAGCTCTGGTTTTTTCCAAGCCTTATATTATTTTAGTTTTCTCTCACTTCCTCCCTTTTCCAGACTGAACTGTGTTGATCTCAGTCTTTCCTGACTCCCAGCTCTTCCTCCATCAGGCTTCTCCTTAGATGTGTCAGCCACAACAGTGGTGGCTTCTGGTGCTTCCAAGGTGTGTCCTCAAAGGTAGCACAAAAAGCATTTGGTTTCTGGCACCCTTCCAATGTGCCTGGCTTTCCAGAGGTCAACACAAGTCCCCAGGAGGCCTGAATTCCTTTCCAGATAGGGGATATCTCTGGGCCTGCCATTTGATATTAATGGGATGATTTGACACTAAACACATTCTATCTTGCACACCTGTCCACCCTCCTGCTTCTCCATGCCCCAGAGCTTGAAGGCTGCATCAGTTTCCTATCGCTGCTGTTAACAAACTACCAGAATCTCATTCTTCAGTTCTGGAGGTTGCAAATCCTATAGGGGTCTCATCGGGCTGAGATCAAGGTGTCAACAAGGCTGTGTTCCTTCTGGAGGCTCTTGGGGAAAATCCTATTCCTAGCTTTTTCCAGTTCCTAGAGGTCACCTACATTCCTTGGCAGGTAGCCCCTTCTTTCATCTCCAAAGCCAGCAGCATGGCTTCTTCAAATTTCTCTCTGATTCTGACACTCTGTCTTCTGCCTCCCTTTTCCACTTATAAAGGAACTTAGGGATTACATTGGGCCCAAATGGATAACCCAGGATAATCTCCCCATCTCAAGGTCAGCTGATTAGCAACTGTAATTCCATCTGCAACCAGAATTCCCCCTTTGCCATATAACCTAATATGAGTTATAACCTAATAGGTTAGGATGTGGACATCTTTGGGGGGCCATTAATCTACTTACCACAGGGGTTTTCCTGCAGTTGGCTTTTCACTGCCACAAGAGCTCAGAGCCACATGGGGCAGGAAGTAATGGTGGGTAGGCAGGTTCATTTCCAATTGGACATAAGCCCCTACTTTCTTATTCCACCCTCCACGGGGGAGGGAGGGACGAGCCCAGCTGTAACACACACCTCCAGCTCCCTGAGGGCTGCACTAGGTCCCTAACACCCTTCACCTAGCATGTAGGATGACAGCAGCTGGAGTTTCTGCCGCCCCCCACCCCCTCAGGGCCAACACCACATCCAGAGGTCTCCCCACAGAATCCAAATGTGGGTGGCAGTGCAGGTCCCCACTGACCTGAGTCATTCAGCTTCCTGAGGTTTGGGTGGCTGGCCTGGTTCTGTGCCTCCTGTTCTTTACTTGTACTTATGGCTTCTTTCAATCTTTGGATAAAAGTAAGAAAAAAGAAAACATTTAGAAAGGAAAAACACCTATGACAGTGTAGTCAGTCTCTTCAAATAATGCCTGTGTGAGAAAATCAAATGCCTCCTCTGACCCACGCAGGGATTTCACCAGCTCCTTCTGGGAGCCCTGCTGGCCTCGCAGCGAGCTCCCGAGACACCTGCTTTAGAAGCGGGGCATCTGGTTAGGTGGCTCTCCTTCAGGAAAACCAGGAGGTAGAGGAGAGGCATATGAAATGACCAACCAGGTACTTTTTTTTTGTGAGGAAGATCAGCCCTGAGCTAACATCCGTGCTAATCCTCCTCTTTTTGCTGAGGAAGGCCGGCTCGGAGCTAACATCTATTGCCAATCCTCCTTTTATTTCCCCCCCAAAGCCCCAGTAGATAGTTGTACGTCATAGCTGCACATCCTTCTAGTTGCTGTATGTGGGACGCGGCCTCAGCATGGCCGGAGAAGCTGTGTGTTGGTGCACGCCTGGGATCCGAACCCCAACTGGGTACTTTAGACTAGGGGTCAGCAAACTTTGACCTGAGGGCCAAATCCCACCCACCACCTCTTTTTGTACGGCCACAAGCAGACAGAGACCTTTACAGATGTCCATTGGCACTCAACAGGATGATAGGGAATGCTAACTTTGAACCTCAATTTAAGAATTTTATCCTTCTCACCAGTAGACCCGTATTACAAAAAAACTGTACTCTATTATTATTATTTTCACATTTTGAATTTTGTCACTAAAAATTTGCTTTTTTCTCTTGTTATGTTAAGTCTCTACAAAATATCTTTGATTTTGCCTCCTGGCCCACAAAGCCTAATGTGGCAGCTCCAGCTGTAAACAAGGACTTCTCTCAGCAACTTACAGATGCTCAGACAGTGCCCGACACCCCCACAGGCATGGCAGGTGCCCCATGTCCGGAGCTGGGCCTCCTGCACAGTCTGCTGTTCTCCATCTCTGCTGACCGGCAGCCTGGCCTCTTCATCAGCCAAGCTGGGATCCACAGTTTCTGTCCAGTTTTGTCCTCCCCCTGCACAACTCCACTCCCAGCAATCCAGGCAGACAAAGGTCCTCCTTTTTTTTTTGTGAGGAAGATCAGCCCTGAGCTAACCTCCATGCTAATCCTCCTCTTTTTGCTGAGGAAGACCGGCTCTGAGCTAACATCTATTGCCAATCCTCTACCTTTCCCCCCGCCCCAAAGCCCCAGTAGATAGTTGTATGTCATAGTTGCACATCCCTCCAGTTGCTGTATGTGGGACGCGGCCTCAGCATGGCCGGACAAGTGGTGCATCGGTGCGCGCCCGGGATCCGAACCCGGGCCGCCAGCAGCGGAGCGCGTGCACTCAACCTCTAAGCCACGGGGCCAAGACAAGTAACACTTTAGAGAAGGCCGAAGGGTTTGTGTGATAAGGATGTACATGGGAAATGCATGACTCAACAGAAGTTTGATCAGGAGAAACTTACTTTAAAAACTTTTAAATGAAAATATTCCCGTATTTATGGACTAAGGGTTTTGACATGATTACAAAAATTTTTCTTACAATTTACTGCATTTTATAGAAGCAATTATACTTCACAGTCATTTTTGCAAATTTAGGGATTTAGGTCACAGGCCATATCGTTGCAGGCAACGCCTCAATGTCAAGAGCCTGCTGGGCTTCTGCTCTTGAAACAGCCAATGCCCTCCCTCATCCTGGCTTCACCTGTGCTTCGACTGCCTTGTGTCCACCCGTTGCCCTCCCTCAATCGGCAGGCCCCCACGCAACCTCGACTCATGCAAAAGCTCAGCTACTCTGTGACGCCTTCCTCAGTCCCTGGGGCCAGGCTCCCCCTCCTCTGGGCCTCCACTGCATCACTGCTGACCGTCTGCCTCCCTCACACCTTCCAACGGATGGACCTCGCTCCTGCAGCTTCAGCTCCCAGCCACAGGCATGGGCCTGCAGAGCGTGGCGCTCAGGCCCTGTGAAGGACAGAATCCATGCAATGCCACTGGAGCAGCCTCTCCTACAAAGCTGCACAGACCCACTTCAAAGCACATTTGGACAACAGCTGAATTAGAGTGAGTTGCTTCATTTAAAAGTTCCGCTTTTCTGCATTTACTAAGTCATGGTAAGAACTCTACAGCTGATTGGGGCTCATTTATGGGCAGAAGGCCAAGCAGGGTACATGACTTTGGGCACCGAGAGGCCCACTCCAGCTGCCTCACTACTGGCAAGGCTTTGTCAGGAAGGCCTCGCGTTTTCATGGTGCTCCCAAAAAAGAAAGTTGCCCTTGGAGCCCCAAGACATTAAAGGCTTTTATAGTGTGATCAGGGCTGTGGGGGCCCCGATGAGCCCTGAGGAGAAGCCCTTGGGAAGAGGCGTGCGGGACACAGGAAAGCAGCAATCACAAACTCGCCCGCTTCCCACGTCTCCAACATTTGCTCTGCTGCTGAGTTCATTCGAGGTGGATGTCTTAGTGAAAGTGAACAGATGTCTGAACTTCCTGTGGTAATTAAATGTGGCCAAGAATTAGGACACAAAACATCTTTCTGCTTTGTATGTTGAAAACAAAAGAAAAAACAACTCCAGTTGGGGGAAAAGTGTGACATATTTGAAATTAGGGTCAAGCCGGAAAATCGGGGATGAATGGTGATTATGGCTGAGCCAAAAACAAAAAAGGAAACAAACTCTCATAACCTTGGCTGGTGTATCCACAGGAAACAGCCCCGGGGGCCCCCACCAACTGCCCGCTCCCCTTCCGGCAGTTTCCTCTCCCCAGTCCCCACGACCTCACCTGCCTGCTCCTGCTGCTGCCACCACCGGCTCCTCTACCTACACTCATTCCTCCCCAGCTCCGCCGTGAGCCAGAAGTAGTTTCCTAATTTCCTCCCCGCTGCACCCCACATCCTGACCTGCGTGGTGGCCACACAGGTGTACACACAGGTGAACAGTCATCAGCTCTCCACTTAAGTCGTGTGCATTTTACTGTACATCAGTTATGTATTTAAAAAAAAACCTCTTAAAAAATAGCTCTCATTCCAGAACTAAAAGAGAAACAGAGAGACGGTTATGAAACCTGTGTAATAACATTACATCAAACATTTTTCTGGGTTAAATGGAAGAAGCAGGCTACAAAACCAAATGAATACTCTGATTGCAACTATCAAAACACTGAATAAGGGGAAAAACTAAATTTTAAGTTTTTGTGTTATGGTAGGTAAGGTGCAGATTTTCTGTAACATGGCTATATTGTTTTTATAATAAAAAACACACACAATGAACTGAGATATAAATAGCAGTAATCTATTTTAGCAGAAACAATTCTTTCATCTTTGGACATGTGATTTTAAATGCCCACCAAAATCACATGTATGATTTTATTATATCTCTAGCCAAAACTTTTGAGGAAAATAATCTCTAATTTTAAAATGAAAATCAATGGGTAAATTAGATTAGACATGGAAAAGTTGGATATAAAGACTTTTTAAAGCAAAAATTCTGTGAAGTGAGTCACATTTGTAATGATTAAGCTTTCTGAGGTAAACACTCTTTCAAATTACCAGGGTCACAATTACTGGAGCAGTAATTTACTGGAGACCCAATTTATGCAGAATTTACGGCCTGGATGTCAATGGAGTGAAGGTAATCAGGAGCGCTGGAGAAATGCCTGTTGCAAGATGTTTGGAGACAAATCCCTCCCAACGAGTAACTTACAGGGTTCCTGGATTCCTCAGGCCCCAGATGCAGCCTGAGAGTCCTGGCCATTAGCACTAGACCCCATTTACTGCTATTTCACATCCAGACGGCTGAAGACCACTCACCTGCTGCTGGGCTGGGGGGTGAGGGTGCCATTCTGCACAGGTGGGGTCTCTGCCGGTTTGGATTTGAAATAATTGACAAGCCCCCCAAACACACTCTTAATGCTGTTAATATGCCTCTGGCTGGTCTTCAAATCTTGATCCATCTTGTCCACCATCTTCTCTGTGCGTTCTAAGACTCCTCGCTGACGGACGAGCTCCTGGGGAAAAGGAGAGGTGATGGCATTATATGTTTTTGTTATTTTCCCTCCACCTATAGAGGAGGACCACATCCAGCAGCCTCATCATAAACTGTCAGTGAGCATATATGGGGACAGACACTGTCACTTGTGATAGGCACGCTATCCTTTCTGACAACACATTCCTTTGTCTCTCCCTCCCTGCCCTACCTCTACTAGCTTTCTTCATTTGCTCGAGTCCATTTTCCCTCCTGCCCATATGACGCTGGCTCACAAGGCCACGTTAAGATGGATGAAGTGTGCCTGCGGGGGTCAGAGTAAGGGCCTGGACTGGCAGCAGACCCTCTTTAGCCCTCCCGCTGGCCCTGGTAACCCTCACAGTCTTTCACTTGGCACTGCCCCATAGGCTATGGTTCTTTTACTCTCCCTTTTTAGATATGGGAGTTCCATTGGGCCACCTGAGCCACCCAGCCCTGGTCATGTCTTCAAACTCTATTTTGCAGACTAGGCTCTGGCGTCCTTTCTGGGCTCTGTTGGTATCTGATTCCAGCCCATATGTAGTTTCAGCTTTAAAATCTGTAACAAGGGTGATTCTGTCACAGGGCCTTTGTACGTGCTAGTTTCTCTGGCTGTAATGCTCCTCATCCGGATACGTGTATGGCTCCATTCCTCTGCCCAGAGACTGCTTCCTCAGAGAGGCCTTCCCTGAACACTTTCTCTAAAGCAGAGCTCCTCCTTCCACCCACAACCTGCCCTTCTCCACCCTTGACCTGCTTTACTTTTCTTTACAGCACGCATGCTCCACGAGGCAGGAACTTTCTTTGCTCACTGCTGTGTCTCCAGCGCCTCACTCAGAGCAACTGCTCACTGCAAATCTGCCAAATGGACACGTGAATGATGCTCTGTGGCCATGGGGACAGCCTAGACCTTGTTCCTCGAGAGCTGATGCTTCTGGCTATAGACGTGAACGCCCCACCATAGCAACACTCACTTCCTTTATTCAGGCCAGACTTGCTGCAGCCCCAATTTCAGGCCATTCCAGCCATGTCCCCTCCCTGTGACCCACCTTTCCAGCCAGAAGACTCCTAAGACTCTCAAGCTCTTTTCCTTCTCCTTCATGAGGCAGTCCCTGCCCTCAGCTGCCTTCCTCTCAATCTTCTAACCCTGCATCTCCCTGCGGCTCAGCAATTACATTAACTACACAAATAATCTTTAAAGATGCTCTCTCTTGATACCTAAAAACAAAGTCATAAACAATTTTAAATAAACATCCTGGAAATTTGAAGGGTAAAAATGAACCTATATACAATAGGTTTGTTAAAGGCCATTTTAGATATAAAGGTGCTAACAGAAGGCTTTTAGGGCACTTAGAGACTCAATGTAAAACTTGAGTTCCTAATGTTTAGTGGGTAAAATTTAAAAATACAATGTATAGACAAAAAGCTAAAACACTGGTTGAATTTACTATTAGATTCTATTTAACTCTTGTTGGAAATAAACTTCTAACTGCCGAGCTTTACAGCTTTGAACACTTCAATGTTGTTCACCAGCTCATGAGACAAGTCTAAAGAAACCATCAGGCTTTTTAAAGTAACGACAAAAACATTTTCTGGACTGTGTCCTTTGATATGCCAAACAAATCTTGCAAGGGCTAATTTTCAGAAGAAAAAAAAGCACTGCTAATTTTTCTGGAGTTTCTACTTCTTCCAACATCTCAAGTTTGTCATCTTCATGTCCATTCCGAGGTAAGTCTTTTCTGGAACAAGGCGGAGCTATAAATTAGGATTAAAATTATTTTCTCCAGCATTCATGTGTTTTTTGTCAATATATTTCTAACAGTCCTGTCCCACCCAGCATATTTCACATGCTGCAGAAGACAGCAGAATTTGAAGCTGGAGAGGGCTTAGGGCCGCTGGGGGTAGGAGTTGCAGCCAGGGCTCTGCTGTTGCACCAGGAGGCAGGTCCTTGGCTTTCCTGACAGCAAGCTCTCCCATTGCACCTCGTCTCAGGAACCATTTGCCCTCCCAGCTCAGCCTCCCCACCTCGATCTGGAGAGTCGCAGCAGTAACAAGTAGCTGACAAAACCTCCCCAAATTCACAGTGAGATCTCATTTTCTTCTGTTTACAAGTGATTCAGTCTCTCAAACACTCAGCATCTACGTCACTGTGCTGACCAGGTAACGAAACCAAATGTCTGATTTAGATGTTATGATAGAAGTGCAGAGAAATATGTGAGGGTGGCTTGTCCTGCATGTGAGGCTGGAAGGCCAGGGAAGTGAGTGTCGCTCTGTTCTCTGCAAGTTTCAGTGAGCTGGAAGCTGGTGTTCCCCTGAAGTGATGTGTTGGTCAGGAGGCCAGCAGAGGAGGAAGTTCTGCTAAAATCCTCCCTGAGAGGACAGAGGAAAGGACCAGACTCCATGTGCTTGCGACATAGTTTTAACCAATGAGGAAGAAGGGCTCGACAGAGCAAACACCAAGACTGCCAGGACAGAAAGGACCTGTCGGGCAGGCCCTATACCCCAGCTGTTACGAAGGCAGACCTCAAACACTTCAGGTCCCAAGGAATGCTCCTGTCTCCCAGAAGGGGTCCAGGTCACGTCTTCTCCACTGGTCCCTGTGAGAATGGGAGGCTGCCGATGAGACCACGTGGCTGTGAGGAGCGCAAGCTCTGCAAAGTGCCCTCAGTGTAAAGGGCATATACGCAAAGTGCTCAGCTCAGGTGTTAGCATTATAGGTGATGCCCCCTCTCCCGTGAGCCCCTAAAGGAGTTTTCTAAAGCTAACCTGGAAAAAGAAGGCAGTCAGAGAAAAGACCCGGTGGGGCCGGTGGTACAATGCTGAGGGACAACACAGAGACAGGGAGGGTCTCAATTCCTCTTTGACTTGTGGCTTCTTGTCAAGCAGAGGGTCCTGACAGAGCAAGAGAAAACCAAAAAGACAGCCGCAGACCTGTGAGGGCACGCTTGCCCTACGCGAGGTGACACCTGGCCAGCTGGATTATGTCCAACGGCCCTGTGAGCATCTGAAGATATCAGGGAATCGTTGCGGCAGAATGCTCTTTGAAAACACACACATACACATATACACACACACACTAGAGGTGCTGCAAGATAGCAGTCAATAGATATTATGAGCACCTGGCCCACTCTCTGCCAGACACCATTCCAGGTGCTAGGGATTCAGAGGTGAACTAAACAACCCGCAATCTCTGCCCTGATAGAGCTGACAGTCTAGAGGAGGGCGAGATGAGGGAAGCGCAGTCTGATTTTTCATGTGTTGACAACACCGCTGTGCTGGAAATCCAAGGAAGGCAGACGGGTCCTCGCTTCACTGAGCTGACAGTCTTGTGAGGGAGACAGAAAAGAAAGCTGCTTCACATGCATGATCGACACGCTACAAGGGTAGGCCCCTCGCAGGTACTCCTCGCCTAGCTTAAGTGTGGGGTCAGAGAGGTTCCCGGATGGTGTGAGATTGAAGGAGAAACTGAAAACTAAGCAGATAGGGAGTCACAGGTGTGGGTGGGGCAAGAGCATTCCGGGCAGAGGCAGCAGCAGGTGCAGTGGCCTGGGGTCTGGGGCGGTGCAGCAGGGCCAGCCGGGGGAACTGAGAGAGGAAGAGGAACTATGTGCGGGGAGCATGAAGGAGAGCAAGCGGGGATGCCAGCAGGACCAGCAGGGGTCACCGAAGGGGCGTTAAAGGGCAGCAGTGACCACGACACTCCAACTCCAACTCCAACTCATAGCCAACGCATCTCATAACAACAGAAGTATCTCATGACGACACACGGGAGGGACTCAGTGTCTTCCTTGAATAAGCCACACTTCAAGTTCCTGGGGGACAGGTGTCAGCAGTAAGTTTCTCGTGCTGACCATGTAATTAAACTCGGGTATCGAAGAACACATACGCAGAGGTCAACCTGGAGTCAGTAAGCTGAACCTAGAAACTTGAAATTTATCTCTGTTATATTACTCCCCTTCCAACGGAGCACGCACATGCCCTGGTGGGGACGCACCAGCAAGTGTGGAACATGCTCAAACCCAGGCTCTGTCTCACTGCAGGAGCAGCAGCCATGGCATGGGATAGATGTAAAAACACCAACCAAGTCTTAGGTTATGCGAAAAACCATCGAGGGTGAAGGTGGTAACGCTGGTGCCCCTTGCTGCACGTGTGCAGGCTGACCCAGGTCCAGTAAAGGACTAACTCAGCAAGCCTGGACTGTCCATACCCGTCACGTTCCAAAGAAAGGCCTTGCCTGGCTCCTTGCCCTTGGATTACCCTGACGAGAGTGTCTTTGTTTACCGGAATGCTTAGGCCAGACCAGAGAGTTTATGCCAACAATGTGATTTATGACGGGGGTCTTGACCTTTGGAGGGGCTGGAGGCTAAGGTCTACCAGGTGGGCAGCATGCCTACATGGCTGACCTCCAATAAAATCTCTGGACCTCCAGGCTTGGCAGAGCTTCTTTGGTTGGCAATACACTGTGTGTGTTGTCATACATCATTGCTGGGAGACGTTCATGTCGTCCACACAACCGCACTGGGAGAGAACAACTGAAAGCTTGTGCCTGGTCTCTCCTGGACTCCGCTCTATAAGCCTTTTCCCTCGGATGATTTTAATCTGTATCCTTTTGCTGTAATATACCATAACCACGAATATAACAACTTTGCTGAGTCCTTCTAAGGAATCAATGAACCTGAGGGTAGTCTTGGGGACCCCCAAACAACAGCTCCAAACAGCACTTCCCACTCTCAGAACCACCACCTCAGAGGCAGAAGGCCGGAGAGCAGATAGCTTCTCAGCTTCCTGCAGCACATCACCTGGTCAGCAAAGCAAGGTCCCTCAGGACAACATGGTGGCCATCAGAAGACACTTCAGGAAGGAGCAGCAGATATGGCCAGATGCCATGGCTCTGGTGAGGGACATGTGACCCGCGTGGACCGTAACAACCCATCCTCGCAAGGTGCCTTGTTATAGCTAAGAAGCTAGCAAGTTTGCCTGGGATCCCAGAACTTTACAACAGTTGAATTCAATCATTGATAGTTAATGAAAAATTACTCAAAAAATAAATCCGGAATAGACCTATTGGTGAAGATGTGGTCCAGTGACATTTCTCTATCACAGTCCTTTACACCTGGTAGAAAAAGCCTGAGATGCATTTCCTGGCCATCAGGAAGGAGATTCACCCAGAGTTACATGGCTCAGTTCATTCTTCCCACTTCAATCTCTCCTCCACTTCCAATCAATCCTCTGCTCCCTCTCTTCTTTTTCCTTCCCTTCCCCAGGTTATTTATTCATCTAGCAACTATCTGGGGAGCCCCTATTACATATAGGGCATTGTGTTGAGAAGTGTGGGGGCAGAAGACTGAGCAAGAGACTGCTCCTCCTCCACGGCTGACATTTGGAAATCTACTGGGAAATTACTTAACTTAGCACCTATCCTTCCCCTCCATCAGCTTTTGCTTCAGGATAGTGTTGTGCTAAGAACCCTGGCCGCATCAGAACCACCACAGGCTGCGTTGGAGCGGGGGGCTCTGGTCTGTACAGCCCCCCATTTGGAGTGGGGAAGGTTCTGCTCTAAGACCAGCTTCCCAGAGAATGAGAGCACCACCCTAAGTCATGGGAACACCCTGAATAGATGGCCGAGATCGCTTCTGTTCCTGAGCTATCAGGGGTGTTCTCCTGTCGCCCACCTCTCTGAACCGAATGTCCAGTGCGGCTTTGGCGACTGTCGAGTGCTGGAAAGACACTAAGAACGTGAGTGCAGCCCTGCATGAGATGGCGTGCAGGATGTGCTGGCCAGGCTGCTCAGTGCATCGTGTTCAAAGCCTATGGAACACTACTCCCTTTCCACTGATGTTACTGCGCCAACTGTTCAGGCCCCAGTCTAATGTTTGTTGCTGGACTCCCCTGAACTGAGATCCTGGGCCCCACGAAACTTCACTGGAGCATGCTCAGCTGCCAGAGGGGATGAGGAGAGCCCTGGGCAGGCAAGTCTCCTTGGCCAGGTGGTGAAAAAGTGTACAAAAACCGCGTCCAAGTAGGACGCAAACAGGCTTGCCCAAAAGTGCAAATGACCCAAATGTCCATCATCAGGGGACTGGTTACATAAATAGAAGTCACCCATTCAATGGATTATGACACAGCCATAAACAAAAAGAGCTGCACATTATATGTTGTTACAGAATAACCTGCAATCCTATTACAAAATATGGAGACTAGAATGTAGTAGTCTGTAGTATTTAACTGCTTCAGTTAAATAAAAAAAAAGGAAAAAGACCCTAAGTATGCCTTTATAAACAGAATGTCTCCACAAGGACACTGAAGGAACTGATGGTAACCAGGCAGAGGGGTGGGAGGAGACTTCATAACTTTCTATATGTTTTGAATTTTGAACCACGTGACTGGATTACCTCTTCACAAAAATTAAACTTCAGGGAAAAAAAAGAAGAAAGAAATCATGCTTCTGAAATGGAGGAAGCTGAGCGGCCTAGAGTCCCTCTATGGTTCTGGACTGTGCTTACCAGGCCAGCTGAGTGCAACCTGCTCTGCCCTGTCTACTTCTCTGTCCTATGGCCGTCATGACCTGTGGCTAGAGTCTCTGTGAGAAACAAGCCGTGCCAGGTTTCACAGGAGGTGAAGGGCAGCTCTCCTTTGCTAGAGGTGACCTGACTACGTAATTTTCCTACTTCTGCCAAGTTGGGACTGAATTATGACCTTCCCAACCTAATATTATTTGTAAATTCCCAATCGTCTATAAAAATCTGCCATGTTTTGGCATGTCTCATAGTGCTGGGTATCCAGCAGGCACCCATTTAACCTGGGAGGTTAGCAGGGTGACCCAGGTCTGCTGGGAGCCACACGGTGCACTGAGTAGAAGGAGAGCTCACCTGCCCTCACCCTCCACCCCGACTCTCAGGGGAATGCAAGAGTGAGGAGAGATTCAAGACAGTTTGCAGACCACGGGGTGGGGCCGGGCGCTGACCATTCCTGCCTCCCAAGGCCTCCGATAATTGAGAACTGATTCAATCCTAGGAAAATTCAAGGTGTAACTATGCTGATGAGAGATCCTGTCATCTGCCCAGTCATGATCACACTGTACCTCTCAGAGTAACGCCAGCTTGGCTCAGGCCAAATCTCACAGGGCTGAGGTGCCACTCTGCCTCTGTTCTCACAGACTCCACTGCATAGGGAGAAAGACCTTCGGGGGCAGCATGGGGCATGTCACCACAATCGGTATGAAACAACTCACATCTATGTTTTTGTCTCTCCTGAGTTATAAGAACAGACCTTCTTTGTGACTGTGAAAGGCTCCTAAGAGCCTCCTCCAGGCCCTTTCCTCAAACGCATCCTGTGCATCACTTCCCTACTCAGGAGCCCAGGATGGCTGGTGGTGGGCCAGTGCCTTTGCGTTGCCCCTCTCTTCCCTGGGAACATCCCCCCGCCTCCTTACTCCTCTTGTCTAAATCTTAGCCTTAAAAGCCAGATTCAAGTTTATCCTCTGCCGTGATACCCTACTTTGTATCATTCTGATTTCCTACTTCATTTGTTCTCACAGTTTCCAAAGACATCTCTTCAAACAGTTCTTAGTTGGCTTCCTCGGGCCTAGGATGCTCAATCAAGTGATCCCTCCACCAGGGCCCAGAGACCTCAGGCAATCCTCCCAAATCTCCCAAAGTCAACACTTTCCATTTAGACTCAAACATAGGAATCCAGTAGATATGAGATGTAAGAACTACAAGACAAACTTCCTCAACCAGGCTAAAGACAGGAAGGTGGGACAATGAGGGATATCATAACAGGGAGAAGTGGGGAAGGAAAGTAACCCAAGAAAGTGACACTGGGGAAATGCTGGAGATGACTATTTCAGAAGTTAATCAATACACCTCAAAACTGGCTAAGACCATACGTGATCAGGTCAGAATGAACTTTGCCAGAGAAAAGAACTACAAGGAGAGCCATGGAGAAAGAAAACGCTTTTGCTTCCAGGATTACATTTCAAAGCCACAAATGCTTAAGATTAACTATTCTTAGTGATATTATCAATAACCTACTATTACATTTTTTAAAACTTAAAAAATAAAAAGCCCAAACAAAACCATGTCCTTAGTAGGCTGAGAAAAGAATGTGGTTCCTAAGACAGAACAACCCTCACTTAAGATCCTACTCTCTGAAATCTTCTATAGATGGAAAGAAGAACTGACAAAGGTGAATTGGAGCAATGGACGGTCACAAACCACACAGTCTACCTAGGACATCTTCATTTGGATTTGAGAAGTAAAGGTAAAGCCCGAGACTCGACCAAACTCCGGCTATCCAAGCACACAAGACCTCAGCACCCCTACCGGCGAGGTAGAGAAGTGGTCAGCGATGGGAAAGAACTCAAGGCCCATTTGCTCTGATGCTTTCAGACACCAGCAGGCACAGGGTCCTCACTCATTCTGGGTCAATCCGGGAGGAATGGCTGACGCCCCGGGTCCAGGCTTCTGCCCAGAAAATTATGTAAAAGAAACAGACACTCCATTTCCCTACTTGGGCTCTGGCGTTTAGAATTTTTACTTACTTGGACAGTACACATCGTGGAGTTTACTTCTGAACTACAAGTCAGTAAAAAAGAACCAACTAAGCAAACCAATAACTAAGAAAGATTCCCGCGGGCAAACCGTCTCTTTCAAGTACTCAAGATACAAACTTCTTGACAAAGTTAACAGATTATTACAAATCACCATCACCGAAGTACAAGGACCTATTCTAGGCCATCCGAGAACTCTCCAGAGACAATGAACAAAACATTTCTTGACCCAGTGTGACCATGCACACTGGCCGGTCCAGTCCAGCCCTGCTCCCGACTCACCTCGGAAGTGGCGACCCCGATCCTCTCGGAATCGTACATGAGCGACAGGGACCTGCTGGTGCTGGCGGCCGTGGCCTCGGCCCTGCGCATCACCTCCTGCCGCAGGTACTGCTGTCGGTCCGCGGGGGCGCCAAGCCCGTCGGGGAGGTCGCTGGCGTCCTTCCACGGGGTCGGCGGGGCGCGTTCATCCTCCGCGTCGTCGTCGAACGGGTTGTAGCTTTTGGGGTAGGCCGACATGGTGCCGGCGCTCGACTCAGTCTGAGCAGGAGCAGGAGATGCGCGGCGAAGAGGACGAATGGCCTTTCCTGGCCCGCAAGGGTCCCGGCTGCCCTCCCGAGGCCCTCGGGAAGCGCCCACCCCTCCGCAGCCCAGCCCCCCCTGCTTCAGAGCCGCACTCCGCCGTCGCCGCCTGAGCTCCTTCCGCCCATCGTGCGCGAGCAGCCCCGCCTCCGGAGCCGACCACGGGGCCCGGTGGCTCAGGGGGAGCCACGCCTGGCGCGCGCCACCGCGACCTACCGCATGGCGTCTCTCCCCCCTCCAGCAGTGAGACCGCCCCGCGGCCACGCCCACCCAGTGTCGGCAACAGAGAGGTCACGTGGCGGGGAAGACGGATGCGGCCGCGCTTGCGCCGTGAGCTCTGGCCCTCGGATGCCGGCTGCGGGAAGCTGGCGGGCAGTGCCGCGGCGCGCGCGATGATGGCGGCGGACGCGACCCGGGGAGGCGGGGGCGGCGGCGGCGGCGGCTCCAGCTCCGGCGCCTCGCGGGGTTTCTATTTCAACACGGTCCTGTCATTGGCCCGCTCCCTGGCTGTGCAGAGACCGGCATCCTTGGAGAAGGTAGCTACGGCCGGCTCGGCCGCGGGCTGACAGGAGGAGGGGCCTGGGGCGGCGAAGAGGGAAGGCGGGGCGAGGGTCTGTGGGGGGATGAGCCGGGGGTTGCGAGCTGCCTCTGACGGTGGCGGGGAGCCTCATGAGGGAGGGGGAGCCGGCGGGGCGAGGAGGCCCGTGGGCGGAGGGGGCTAGGGAAGGTAGGGAGTCCTGGGGGAGGGGGCCGTGTGGAAGGAGTGGCACGGGCGGGCGTGCGGCTGGGTGGGAGGGACGCGAGCTACAGGCCGGGGTTGGAGCTGAGGAGGCACCTTGTGCCGTCGGTGGGGTAGGGGCGGCGGTGAGGAGCAGTGGGAAGAGCCAAGGACCAGTCAAAATCTAGGGCTCTGCTCCCGACTTCCCCTTCTTTTTATCCCGTGACCTTAGGGAGATGCCTTTTTCCTAAAATGGGGGTGCTTTTACCTGCTTTGCGAGCTTCACGGGGTTGTCTTGAAGGGCAGATGAAATAGCGTATCTGAAAGTCCTTTCTGAAATGCAGCTCTACTGCGCATTGTTCTCCTGTGAGACTAGAGGGGGCGTTAGACGGGGTAAAAGATTTGGAGGAGGGGCGGGGGGGGGGAAGCGGGAGCGAACCGTCGGGGGGCGGAGAACTGAACGCAGGATTCCTCAGAGAGGAGAACTCGTGCGAGAGGAACCCTTATCTTGGGAGAAAGGTGCAAGGCAACTGAAACATATGCGTAGGATGGCGGGAAGAACACACATTTTGGAGTCAGACCTAAGTTTGGTGCCTGCAGTGTCACTTACTTCGTGTCGTCTTGGGCAGGTTACTTTAACTCTCAGAGCCTTTGTTTCCTTATCTGTGAAATGAAGTGGTTCTTGAGGATTAAATGAGTTCACGCACAAAGTGCTTCTCACAGAGCTGGACACAGACTAGGCGAACGGTAAATGTCAGCTTTCTGTCCCCGCCGGTGTGTGAGGAGACTCATTACACTGTGTGAGCCCCGCAGGGATGGGATTATTTTTCCACACAGCCGTCTGGTGGATGGGAAAAGAAACACGTTGTCTGCCAGTAAGCAAGAGGAGAGGAGACTGAGGCCTGCCTGCTGCTTTTGGGAGTGGCTGTGTGGCCTTGGTGAGGGGTGAAGCTGAAAGGCTGTTTTGGGCACTTTGGCATTGTGGGTTCTCAAACTTGATTTTGCCAGTCACCTGCAGGGTGAGCAGGTCCTGGGAGAATGATGCCAACAGGAATTCTAATTAAGGAGGAGTACAATAGAATGGAAAGGATATGAGTTGTAGGAATACGACCACTTGAATTTAAATTCTGTCATTTGCTTACATTGGCCTTACTCTGGGCAAGTCAGTTTCCTAATCTGATCTTCTGCTTTCTTCTGCAAAATACAAGGACAATACTTGATAGGAGTATTGTGAAGATCAACAGAATGAGAGGAATAAAAGCAGGCACGTGGGTACCTAATGAATGATCACTTATCATTAGATGAGCCTGACTAATGGACCGCAGTGCAGATTTATTAAATCAAACTCATCCCAGGTAGTCAGCACATTCTCTTCTCAGTAGGAGGACCAAAAAGCAGATCAGAAGTTTGCTTGTTGGCCTCAGGGAGAAGAGAGAAGAGAGAGTGCAGGGAATTAGATGATCTTTAAGAAGATAGTTCTGTAGCTCTAGCAGTGTGGCACCCTTTTCCACTCAGTAACTTTGAAAAATGCACCTTAAGCTCAATTTACCTTCTTCCCCCTTTTTAACTAATCACAAGAACATTCTGTAATTGAAACATTGTTAACTCTGTATCTTATAGAAACTGCTTCCATTGTCATGATTACAATATATTTGACAACTAATTAATACAGCTTTTAGGTCGGCAGCTCCCTAACACTGTCTTTTATTTCGGGAGATACTTCATTCTCATTGGCAATGCTTACACATCACTTCAGAAAAGAGTTAACCGAACAGGCCTGAGGCTGCTTGCAAGGTTGGCCCTTGGCTGGTATCTGGGAACTTGGCACTTGAACTGTTCCCTCCATTCCCTAACTGATAAGGATGGTTCACTGTGCCTAGACTCCTTGTACAAACGTTATGATTTATGTTGAACACCTGCTTTCCTTCTTGGAATCTGGAATTTTGATGGTTGCTAGGCATAGTGTGTGTGTGATCAGCCCCCAGTAAAAACCTTGGGTGCTGTGTCTCTGACGGACTTCCCTAGGCACAAACTTTGCACATGTGTTACTGAATTGTTTGCTGCTGTAAAAGGGAGCATGCTCAGGGTATACCCACACAGGAGGGAGAGAACATGAGGAAGCCCATGCACAGGTTTCTCCAGATTTCAGTTGTGTCTTTTTCCCTTGCTGATATCCTTTCACTGTAATGAAATTTAGCCACAAATAGAACTCTATATACGTGTGGGTGGTCGTGGGGCCTCCAAAACAACTTCTTTCTTAGAGGAAGCTTCTGTAGGTGGCTGATCCCATCAAATATATGTGAATTACTCTTATCCTCATCTAGGACCTTGAGATTTGATTATGTTAGGGATCCTTGTTACTGGTTAGTCCTATGATATATGTCTGCTTACTGCATTCCACTACTTTAAAACTATTGACAAGAAGCCCTTAGAATTCCTAAGGAAAAGATTCTTGAGATTCTTAAGAGTAAAGGAATTTCTGACTACCCACCTGCTATAATAAAGATGGAGACTTAAGGGAGGAGATAAATGTTTAAAAACCTCTGTCTCTCATTTCTTTGCTTCTGTTTTTCTGTCTTCTCCTTTTTTTCCAGAGAGAAGGCAGAGAACTGAGTGGGGCTTGGTCCAGATAGGATTGACCTGAGGAAGGCTAAATTTTCTGATTTAGATCTGACATCTCAGCTCAAACATTGGTAACTCAGGCACCCCTGACATGCTTTTAGTGGCACTTGAGGCACGTTGATGATGTGACTTTCCCTATCTTTGTTCCCGTACATGCCACAGTTGTGTTTACTTACTCCACTCACCCACTCTAATCCCAGGCTGTGAAACCAAGCCCATTGCTACTCAGTCAGTTTTACTTTTTTCTTTAACTTTTTTAATTCACTCTTTCATTTAGAAAACATTTATTGACCACCTACTCTTAATTGGTACATGCTAGGGCAGGTAAATGAGAAACAGTTCTAATTTGGTTGCTTAGGTGACCAGCAACAAGTCAGATTTGTTGCAAGTCCCCTATCTACTCTTGTATCCCAGGACTGGTGACCAGACCCCTGCTATGTTCAGACAGCCAAAGCCAAGACCCCTGAGCATCTGTTCTCTGATCCGTATCTGAGTTTGACCTTTTCCTGCTAGGCTGCCCCTAAAACTGGAGTCCCACACCTGAGGCCCACCTCTGGGATTGCAGCCCACCTTTGAGGACACCCTCTGTGAAGCCCTCTAGACCATATTTCACTCAGTCTTCAGCCCTCTATCTCTGGGAGAAAGATGAGAGGAGGAAAATAGACAAGAAAAGAGTCATGCGTACACTGGAATCTCCATGTGCACTCGGTTTCCAGACTCCCTCTCTCTGATTTCTATCTGCCTGCCTGTCTTGTGCTGCTTTCCTGGTTCTTTTTTTTTTTTAAATTTTTTTCCCCCCAAAGCCCCAGTAGATAGTTGTATGTCACTGCTGCACATCCTTCTAGTTGCTGTATGTGGGACGCGGCCTCAGCATGGCCAGAGAAGCGGTGCGTCGCTGCGCACCTGGGATCTGAACCCGGGCCACCAGCAGCGGAGCGCGCGCACCTAACCGCTAAGCCACGGGGCCGGCCCACTTTCCTGGTTCTTGCTTGTCTTCAGAATGTTGCTGAGCTGCCCCTGCCAAGCCTCTTCCTTGCTCTGCCTGGTTATACTCCTCTGTATCCAGGAAATCAAGTGACTTGTCATACCTTTCCTAGTCTGGCCTATGCCATGCTAATGGAGCCCCCATCCTGGATATGGAGAGTTTTGGGCAGTGCTGCAAAGTCAGCAGCATTCCTTGCCCTTTTTATTCCTCTTCCCACCCTCAGGAGGCTTTGATCAGAGTCCTTTCCCAGGTCCTAAAATATCCTCTCTTTTCTTCAGTTAGAATGTCAGATTCTCGAGGTGTCTTAGTTAACTATTGATCTGATGTTTAAATGGCACTGTGGCATTAGGGACAGGCTGGACCCTCCCTGGTGCACAGGTGTGCTCCAGAAGATGAGCTGGTTAATTGTCGTCTGTAACTGGAAGAATGTGTGGCCAGATGCTTAGGGCAGCGGGCTTTCTGGAGTTGATGGTTATCCAGTCTGTCCTTTAGAGTGGTCTGCCATGGAGTTGCCCTAGAAATCAAAAGTCATGGTGTTGGCATTTTTTCAGCATCATGAAGCTGAAAATTTCCCATCCTTGCTCCCTTTTCTTTATGAGGCAATGTTAAAAAGCATTGTACACAACTACAGCAAAGTTGCAGGTACAAAATCAATCTACAAAAATCAGTTGCATTTCTGTATGCTAATAATGAACCAACAGAAAGAGAGCTCAAAAAGATAATACCATTTACAATTGCATCAAAAAGAATAAAATACCTAGGAATAAATCTTACCA